TCCCGGCGGGTCCCCCAGCTGATGGTGGGATCCCAAAGCGCCGAAAGGAAGATCTGCACCGCCATGGACTCGCGGATGAACCACGCCACCGCAAAGTCCAGCTTGGAGAAGTTCGGCGGCCCGCCCTGCCCATTAAAATACGGAGACGTATAAGCTTGATAAAACACAAGTCGAATGAACGCAAGAATTTAGTGTCGTTAAGAAAGAGCTGTGACGCCAACTGTTGCCATGTTTAGATTTCGTGACGTCCAAATTCAACAAATAACCATTTTCAGTTCTTCACAATCAATAAATTGCCTTGGTGGAAGTGACGTACCTGAACTCCGGTGAGTTGGACATAGTCAGCGATGAACCACGCCAGACAATGACACATGAAGAACACCATCATGTCCCACCTACAGGCACACACACCCACACCCGCACACACACGCGCGCAGTGTTAATATTTGAGAGCACATGCGTGCACGTACGGTCTCGTCCTTCGGTTGTCACAGCAGGCTTGCGGCTATCATCTGCCTCATCATGCAAAGCGGCACACCCTCCCCGACCACATCTTGCCTTGTTTTATTGCTAAGTGATAATAATCAGATAGCGATAAAGGAACAAGGGCTCGCCATCTTATGCTCACTCCAACATAAGCGCTAAGGATATGTTTTCCAGGCGCTTGTTTCTTTTTTTTTTCCCAGCCTGCACAAATGACAATGTGATGGAAAAAAGAAACGCTTTAAAGTCAGGTGTATTTGTAATCATGAGCTAATTTTTGATTTTCGGTTATGCCGTTCACATTATAACAAAACTACGCAAAGGCATAAAAGTCAAGCCGATGCTAGCTTGGCATGATTTGGAAATCACTTTTTTTCCCCCAAATGAACGTTCTCCGCAGGTACATTAGTAAAGGCGAAAAGAAAACAAGCAACAGAATTTTGCAAAATTAAATCAGAATGTAGTGCAAGAGAGAAACTAGCTCTCCGAAAATGAGCAGCTCTTTTTCTGTAAGGTCAGAGTACAAACAAACTGATGTTACTTTGTCACTGATGAAGTGCAGCGAGCATGGCAACAGACAGCAGACAAAGAGAAGGCGTCGCTTGCCGAATGGCCGCTGACCTGAATACGTAATGCGCGGCCCAACCAATGATGAGGCTGGCCAGGAAGCACTCGGAGACGGGCTCCAACACAGTGCCGGGAAGCATGTTGATGCGCAGCTTGGTCCACCTGCCGGCAAAGAAGGGAGCGAGTTACACTTCTTCATCATCAGCATCATCATCACGTTAGCCCAAGATGGGGTGGAGGAGTCGGCGTGGTGTTCACCTAATCAAGCGTGACTGGAATTGGCCGATGGAGTAGGAGCCCGAATTCTGCAAGGCCACCTGCGTCGCCATGGAGAACTTCCAGCCTCTATGGAAGACCAATCAGTGAGCTTCACCGGGCCCCGCCCACACACACAGACACGCCCAACGGTCTGCGCATGAGCTACCTGTCTGCGATGGCCTTGGCCATGAAGTAATCTTCGGCGATGTATTGCGCAAAGGCCACCAGGCCGCCAGCCTGGTCCAGGACGTCTTTGCGCATCAGACACGACATGCCTGTCACGCACTTGATGCCCATCACGTTGGCTGAAATGTACGACCGAGGGTGCGACGTCCCGAAGTAGACCTTGACGGCAGATTTTCATTCCGTTAGGCTTCCGCCGGTTAGTTTCGGCCTCACGATTGTTAGCTTAATGCTAGTTGGCCTGAGTCAGTTAGCTTCACCTGCTCAGTTAGCCTCATGCTAGTTAGACTAGACTCCGGCCTTCCTGTGTGGCGGTTGCAATATCTCCTCGTGCCTGATTGGGTTTTCTCCGGGTACTCCGGTTTCCTCCCACATTCCGAAAACATGCATCGCAAGTTAATGGACCTCTCTAAATTGTCCCCAGGTGTGATTATGAGCGCAAATGGTTGTTTATCTGCGATTGGTTGGCAACCAGTTCAGGGTGTACCCTGCCTACTGCCCAAAGACAGCTGCGACCCCCATAACGATGAAGCGCTTCAGATAATTGGATGGACGGAATTGGCCATCTTTGTCGTATGTTTACAACTGGTACAATCCAATTGGTATAAATCACCTTCTTGCAACGCAGCATAAAACTCAGCTGCACTGTTAGCCTGGCGCTAGAAAGCTTCATATGTGCCATTAGCTTCACGCTAGTTAGCCCAGTGCTAGTCAGCCTCACCTGCTCCAGCGTGGCGGCAAATCCCTGTCGGTCGGCGACGTACGGCAGACCGTGCACCAGACCCACTTTCTCAGTCATCTGATTGGTCAGATCAGTCAGCGTGTCTGCTTTCACTGTAGCGCACACACAAACACACAGTTATCGTTAGCGTTAGCATGGGGGACTCAGATAGTCAAGTCAAGATGGCGCCCGGTGACCTCGGATGCCGCTGTCGCAGATCCACACCAGGCCGTACTTGGCACCCTCGTAGCCTGGCATCAGGTTGTTGATCTTGGGGTTGATGCCCACCTTCTTGCCCCCTGCCGGAGACACGGGGGTAGGGTCTACATTTTCACTTTGGTTTTTGCTTTTCAGTGACTAACGCCTGAAATTCAGACTTGAGTAAAGTCACGTGGGATGGCTTAGCTCACGTCTAATTGACAGATACGTTTCGGCACTACAGCAAAGCCTAGAAGGGCCACAGCCGCTCAACACACACAAGCCAAACAGAGTCAAAGAGAGAGTGGGTCTGAGTGCGTGTGTGTGATGTGTGAGAGTGAAAACGTGCGCGGGTGAGAGGGTGAGCGTTGAAGGTGCAAGTAGTTACCAATGAAGAGGCGAGCGTCCACGTTGGGATATTTGCCCAGCAGTTTCTTACAAACGTCAATGGCCGGGTCGTCCTGGTCCTGAACGCACATCAGCACCTCGTACTACATGCACACACGCAAGGTTACACGTATGCACATGGGGTTCAGAGGGGTTAAAGGTCGGCTACCTTGGGGTAGTCCATGGTGAAGAAGGTCTCCAGGTTGGAAATGAGGTTGGGATCGACGCCCTTGAGCGGCTTGAGCAGGGACACGCCCGCCGGCTGCTTGACCTCCGATCTCTTCTTGTGCAGATGCAGGCGCCTACGGATGGGGTCAGAGGTCATTTAGAGGACATGTGGACAAATATAAAATACTGTTGTGTGCTGAAAATTAGGCAATTTTAAGCTAAATAAACTCTCGAAATGATGACCAGTAATTGATGATCAAAATATTTGTCAAGTAAATTGGTATTTATTTGTTGATTAGTTGTTGAATTGTTGCACCTACAGTCGTGACAAAACTAAATAAACTTGTTAATTCTTGCAAAGTATAAAATCTGAAAAATACAACTGCAATCAATCCAAACTTCACTTTTTTAAATATTTCAAAAGTAAACCAGAAAAACTAAAAATATTTGAAAAAAAGGTTGAAGCAAATTTTATGCTTTTCAATGAATGTGTTTTTTTTGGGGGGGGAGGGGTCCAAATGCTGCTGCCTCTTCATTTATCAACAACTATATCGTCCTACTTTTTTTTTTAATATTGTCAATTAATGCAGTTTTTTAAGTGTCTAACCCATATTTGTTGTGTTTCCGTCACAAGAGCATCAGAGCTTCTTGAAGTGGATTGATGGAAAAAAAAATAATCTAATATTGTCAATTAATCCAGTTTTTTAAGCGTCTAACCCATATTTGTTGTGTTTCCGTCACAATGAGAGCATCAGCGCTTCTTGAAGTGGATTGATGGAAAAAAAAATAATCATGGACATTTTTCAACGACTATTTTATGTGAATTTTTCCACAAGACGTCCAAAAGCAAAGCGTGATTGCAGAGGGCTCGTTTGGCAAGCTTCGAAATGAGGACGTGAAACCAATCCTATTTGAGAGTTAGGAAGTGGCACAACTGTTTCTAACATTAATAAGACATCAACCCGAAAATCATGTTCTTATTTTCTCTTGGACCAAGTCAAAATATATACTTTTACGTTACCCAAGCACTCAATTATTCAGTCAAATGTATATTCAATAGTATATTCAAAGACCAAGTGTGATGATTGTTTTCTTTTTTTGTGTGTAGAATTACGTTTTAATTTCTTCAATTCACAAGGTCTATAGTAGCAAGCTGTAATTTCTTGTCCAGAAGCAAATCTTACCTTAACAAAAAAGGTCTGCTGTCATGTAATTCTGACAACATTTATTGTGCAGACCAGACCTCAAGTCGAAGTCAAAAGTCGGGACTCTCGTGGAAAAAAAATGACATTACTGATAAATATTTCATGCTACATTAATTTAGTTTGAGTTTTTTTACCATTCCCCCCGTCTGACGTACACCGGAGTCTAAGTTAATTCATTTCTCCACACTAATGAATCTGCCTCCTATTTTGGTGTTCAATTTTGGATGTTCTCCCCTTAACGCAGTTACAGACTACTTAATACTTAACTTTTTTTGTATATACTTTTTAATGCTACCCAAATCATTTCGGCACGCTTCAATATATTATTGGAAAGAAGAAAAAAGGTCGATCAGAGCTAACCGGCGAGCTACCGTACGCCCACACGCAAATATTGACGTAATGACGCTCCATTTTTTAAAAAAAATGTCTTGTTTTATCCAAAAATTCTTAAGAGTTTAGTTTAGTTAGAACAGAAGGGCTGAGCACTTCCACACAGACCAGTAGGATCAGGCTCCTTGCCAGTTAGCGTTGCCAAGCCAATTCAGGCTAGGCTAGGCTAAGCTAAGCTAATGGGCTCACTCACACGTAAATGATGGACATGAAGTGCATGAGCCACAGCACGACGAACAGCAGCAAGCCGAACACGGCCAGGCCTTGCATTACGACCTCCAGTAGGGCCATGGTGCTCCGCGGCCGGATGGACGGCGGGCCGGCCGCCGCCGCCGGGGGCAGGAGGAGGGCGTTCACGCCCCGGGCAAGGTGCGCCGAGCTCGGGTGGCGGCGGCCAAAGGTCCAGCCGACTGATCCAGTCTAGAAATCCCTTCGACACCAACCAGGAACCTTGGAGATCCGAGATCCCGGAGAAGAACGACGATGACGACGAATCCGTTGAGGAGCTCCAGAGGGGCGGGCAGCTCTCAGTCTCACCGCGGCCTCGACGGACGAGCCGAAGCCGCTTGACAGTCAGCAGACCGGCCGCCGGTCAGCTGACCAGAGGGGGCGGGCAATGGAGTTCGGGGTGTGGGCTACGTTTACAAGAGCGCTTCCGGTCAGCGTCAACGTCAGTCCGCGTGAGGGGCATCATATCATGCTGCCTCGCCTTTCGATTTACCCGCCGGAGGAAACGAACGCAGACACAAGCACACACGCATACGCGCACGTACACGCACGGAAATCCGGAGTGCTTGGAAGAAGCCGAAGAAAGCCGATCGAAAGTCCCAGGTCGACTTTTCCACTCTTCCGAAGCTTGATTTAATTTTTCGCCGCTGATCATGATGATGTCGACAAATTGACCAATTAGCACACTGGTTAGCGACCATTGCAGAATATTGTCACCAAACAAGGGACTGGTTGCCAGACAATGTGACAATAGATAAACAACGTTTGCAAGGCAAGTCTGGTTGCCAATCAATGTCATAAAGCATATAGGTAGAGAACGGACTGGTCGTCAGTCAATGTCAGAAGGAATATCAACAAACAATGAAACACACGGTCAACGTCACATTGCAAAGACATAGAGCGGACTGATTACTGGGCAACGTCAGAGCCGAAAAATGACAATTGACTGGTCGGCAATTAAAGTCAGAGCATATGTGGACAAATCGAATGGTCGCCAATCAATGTCGGGGTCCATGTAGGAAAGAGAAGGGTTGCACAGAATGATAGGATTATATTCTTTATTGACCAATCATTGTTTGAGCGTCATGGTTTCCATGGCAACTGGCCCAGGCACATTCGGCATTCTCTTTCCAGCTGGCTTTGCGGTCCTCGTACACTTCCTGCAGAGAAGACAAGACGGGCGGAGAGCCAGGTGAGCCCAGCGGGGGAGGGATTTGAGGGTGGGGGGTTGTTGGGACAGGAGCGGGAAATCCTTCCTGACCTTCTTCCACACAGGCACGTTGGCCTTCAGGCCGTCCAACAGGCAAACGAGGGCCCTCTGGCCATCGTGGCGATGAGGAGACGAGACGGCAGCTACCACGCTGGCTTCGCCAACCCGCACCCACCTAAGGGTGGAACGAGGGTTAAGAGGGGAGCGGCTAGCGCGAGGAGCGTGATGAGAGTGACATGCACGACCCGAGGCGGTGGTGCACGCAGATGTGCGCGAGGTCGGGCCAGCGCGCCCGCAGGCGGCGGCACAGCTCGGCCAACTCCGACTGGACCATGGGCTCGTACGCCTCATACTCCAAACCGATCACCTTCCCGCTCTCCGACTGGTCCTCGCGCGTCGTACCTGCGGCGAGGACACAACTCAGCATGGCCGTTGGCAAACAGGAAGTGATGTCACGAGTACCTATAAAGAGAGAAATGGCGCCGCAGGACGCGCTGCCGACGGCCGCCACCACGTCTTCGACAGATAGCCGATGGTGGCTCAGCTTGAAGATGTCCCGCCCCTTCTTTGACGCCCCCAACTTGCCAGAGAAGATGGCAGATGAGGAGAGAGAACATTGTTTTTATGCTTTTGATTACGACCGTGGTTACGGCGCTTCTTCTGTTTGTGACAGGTCGTGATTATGTTTAAACGGTGATGATGATGTTCTAGTTACAAACGCTTGACTAAAGCCTTGATGGTTCTGCGTGTTGTGAGGTCACATTTGGATCGTTAGGACGACAAAAGCTCACGGGTGGCGACTGGCTGCTCATCCTCCGCTCAGCGGCGGCACCACGGCGACCTCGTCCCCGTCTCGCAGAGTCAGCGCCTCCTGGTCGTCGATGGCCACGTACTGATGGCGCACCGCCAACACCACGTGACCCTGCAACACCCGCAACCTGCACGCACACACACACACACACACACGGTCACATTTGGATCGTTAGGACGACAAAAGCTCACGGGTGGCGACTGGCTGCTCATCCTCCGCTCAGCGGCGGCACCACGGCGACCTCGTCCCCGTCTCGCAGAGTCAGCGCCTCCTGGTCGTCGATGGCCACGTACTGATGGCGCACCGCCAACACCACGTGACCCTGCAACACCCGCAACCTGCACGCACACACACACACACACACACATATTACGCCTTGCACCGGCAGCCCATGGAAACAGTGTAACATTCCGACCTGGGGTGTTGCCCTAGCAACCGAGTCCAAAGGTCCTGGCTGTTGATTGGCGTGTCCACTTGTAAAAGCTCCTCCCGCACGCCGCTGAGCTCGGCGCTCTTAGCAAAGTACAACACACACACCTACAACACACATACACACACGTGCACAAATTTAATAAACACGCTAACACAGGGGTTTCCCACCTTTTTGGAGCCTCCAAGTGAGATGCGTTATTATTATTAGCATTTATAATATTTAATATGTATTTATGTGAAGACCCCACGTCAATAATTTCTCACAATAAATAGGGAACAGATAAAAAGAAATGTGCAAAACATTATTTCTATAAAACTCAGCCAGTGTTTACTTTTTCCAATGATCACTACAACATTTCTAGAAAACCACAACGTCAGATCACTGGTGAACTTTTATTTGAAGAGGCCTGCCATTGAGTCATGTGGTTTTCGGGTCACCACGTCTGGTGGCCTTTGATAGAGATTTATTGCAGATTATTTTGCACACCAGCAAGCAGAAACACACACACGCGCGCACGCACAAACACTTGACAGTCACAAGAGGCGGTCACAAGTTGACGCTCAACATATCACATTGTGCCCGCGCGTTTGCGGATCTCGCGCTGGTCTCGTGGTTGGTGACGCCATCAGCGTGACGTCGGTTAGCATGAGCAGAAGTCGTTCGGAAATGTCGAAATGATCTCAAGCTGGTTGGAACGACCCAAAGTGCACGTCTGCGGTCGGAGTTTCGGCTGCTGGTTCATTCGGCTAACATCGGAATGCAGTCACGAAGGGACGGGGGGGGGAAACATTTTAAACGGGTTTGCGGAAAGTTTATCTGCTAACTCGCGTGTTGAAAGGAGGCGGTCAGACACTCACGCGCGCGGTCATGGAGAATCAAAGTGCTCACGGTCATCTGGAGACTTTAATGTAGGAATTTTGTTTGGACTTGTGTCTTTTTTTGTTTGTTTCTGGGAGGGCTTCAAGCGTAGTCTAATGACGTCATTTCAGACTGGGTATCTATTGGCTCGCTCAATTTCTTCCTCGACGCCATTTCAGATGACAATTGGTCCAACAGCGCGACCTGCTGTTTAGATGAGGAACAACGCCAACTAAATGCCGTAAAGCCAACCGCATTTTTTTTTCCACACTCTCCATTTTTCGTGGAAAACAAAAATTGAATGAAACAAAATTGTTGAGTTGGAAAATACTATAAGGTTTAATCCATCCACGCGAATAGCAGGGTTCGACTGCAGTGTCGACTAGTGACAATTACAGTCCATTGTTTGTCAAAATGAAAATTGACTGTTGCCCAGTCCAATTGTTTGTCTGAATGTGCCCTGACATTTTTTCTGAATCTGATGGACATACTTGAGATCATCAGCAAATTTGAGACCACTCGAGCAAAATTTATTCATTCCAAAAATATACATGTTTCAATTTGTTTATAACTACATTGGTCAGACAGGAAGGGATGTCACACATCCAAACCCTGACGAGTCAGGAAGTCTTCCAGCGCGCTCAGTCTCTCCACCATGATGGCGCACCGCCAACACCACGTGACCCTGCAACACCCGCAACCTGCACGCACACACACACACACACACACATATTACGCCTTGCACCGGCAGCCCATGGAAACAGTGTAACATTCCGACCTGGGGTGTTGCCCTAGCAACCGAGTCCAAAGGTCCTGGCTGTTGATTGGCGTGTCCACTTGTAAAAGCTCCTCCCGCACGCCGCTGAGCTCGGCGCTCTTAGCAAAGTACAACACACACACCTACAACACACATACACACACGTGCACAAATTTAATAAACACGCTAACACAGGGGTTTCCCACCTTTTTGGAGCCTCCAAGTGAGATGCGTTATTATTATTAGCATTTATAATATTTAATATGTATTTATGTGAAGACCCCACGTCAATAATTTCTCACAATAAATAGGGAACAGATAAAAAGAAATGTGCAAAACATTATTTCTATAAAACTCAGCCAGTGTTTACTTTTTCCAATGATCACTACAACATTTCTAGAAAACCACAACGTCAGATCACTGGTGAACTTTTATTTGAAGAGGCCTGCCATTGAGTCATGTGGTTTTCGGGTCACCACGTCTGGTGGCCTTTGATAGAGATTTATTGCAGATTATTTTGCACACCAGCAAGCAGAAACACACACACGCGCGCACGCACAAACACTTGACAGTCACAAGAGGCGGTCACAAGTTGACGCTCAACATATCACATTGTGCCCGCGCGTTTGCGGATCTCGCGCTGGTCTCGTGGTTGGTGACGCCATCAGCGTGACGTCGGTTAGCATGAGCAGAAGTCGTTCGGAAATGTCGAAATGATCTCAAGCTGGTTGGAACGACCCAAAGTGCACGTCTGCGGTCGGAGTTTCGGCTGCTGGTTCATTCGGCTAACATCGGAATGCAGTCACGAAGGGACGGGGGGGGGAAACATTTTAAACGGGTTTGCGGAAAGTTTATCTGCTAACTCGCGTGTTGAAAGGAGGCGGTCAGACACTCACGCGCGCGGTCATGGAGAATCAAAGTGCTCACGGTCATCTGGAGACTTTAATGTAGGAATTTTGTTTGGACTTGTGTCTTTTTTTGTTTGTTTCTGGGAGGGCTTCAAGCGTAGTCTAATGACGTCATTTCAGACTGGGTATCTATTGGCTCGCTCAATTTCTTCCTCGACGCCATTTCAGATGACAATTGGTCCAACAGCGCGACCTGCTGTTTAGATGAGGAACAACGCCAACTAAATGCCGTAAAGCCAACCGCATTTTTTTTTCCACACTCTCCATTTTTCGTGGAAAACAAAAATTGAATGAAACAAAATTGTTGAGTTGGAAAATACTATAAGGTTTAATCCATCCACGCGAATAGCAGGGTTCGACTGCAGTGTCGACTAGTGACAATTACAGTCCATTGTTTGTCAAAATGAAAATTGACTGTTGCCCAGTCCAATTGTTTGTCTGAATGTGCCCTGACATTTTTTCTGAATCTGATGGACATACTTGAGATCATCAGCAAATTTGAGACCACTCGAGCAAAATTTATTCATTCCAAAAATATACATGTTTCAATTTGTTTATAACTACATTGGTCAGACAGGAAGGGATGTCACACATCCAAACCCTGACGAGTCAGGAAGTCTTCCAGCGCGCTCAGTCTCTCCACCAGCATCACATCCAAGTCCGACGGGTCGTTGGCGCCGGGCCCTGTGCGGTACTGACGGCGGACGGTGCGTTTTCTTGGCGCCGCCGCGACAGGAAGTCCAACACCTGCAAACAAAATGTATGCCACCGAATGTTCACTGACAAAGACAACGCAAGTGTTTGTCAGTTTGCGGAACACATGATGCGTGTGGATTGATTAAAAATAATAATAATTTGAGTTGAGTTGCATTGAATTTGTGAGCGTTGTGGATTTGTGGGCGCGCTACCTTGGGGTCTCTTCCTCTTCCTGGGCTGAGTGAAGTCCGGGAAGAGGAGGAGTCTGCGCCGCCTTTGCTGGCCAATCAGAAGCAAGGCTCCATCCTTCTCCTGAGGCTCTTCAAAGATGGTCTCCAGACTCCTGTGGAGCAAAGCATGCTGGCAATTGGAGTCCCTGATGCGATGCTGGCGGTCCTTGTTTACCTGTTGTTGCTGGGACATTTGTAGTTCTTATTGGTGTAAATCTCCTCCACGCTGAACTCCTTCTTCTTCAACCTCAAACGGACACAAAACGCTAGTTTGACCTTTGCGTCGTCATCATCGCCCTTTCTCGCGGCGATGTCGCCGCTCACCTTTTGACCTTGGGCAGCCCCATGGGTGTGAGAGGCGTCTCTCGCGGCGCAGCTCGACGGATTCGGATCTGGGACACACGCTTGGCTTTCTGAAGACAAGACGCAAGGGGGGCTCGTCAACGCCACTCGCACATCCTCTCACGTGATCCACTCTCTCTCACTTCTCCCCAACAGCCTCACTTATTGAGACACACAATTCCAAACACTCACCAAGGTTATTAAAGTTAACGAAAACTAATGAAAAAAAAATAAATATTTTTTGTAATTTTAATTGATGAAATAAAATACAAACAAAAATGCTTTTAAAAAACTAAAATTAAATGTACATTTATAGAAACACACACACACACACACACACACACACACACACACACACACACACACACACACCTCCTTGGAGCCAGCTGATGATTGAGTGATCGTGACCTGAGGTGAGGCTACGTTGTCAGAGCACGCAGGAAGAGGCGGGGCTAGGAGGCGCTTCCGAGGACAGTGAATGGATCTTTTCCTTGCCCTTGTATGCCTGCAAATCACACCACATGGCATGAGCCGATGAACGGTTGCAAATGATTGACAGGCCAAAAGAAGACGCTTGAACTGACCTGAGATCAGCTGTTTGGATGTAACTGCCAACAAAAACAAACGAGTCCGTGAGTGAGCACCTCAGTAGCGCTTACGCTAACGAAGCGGCAACAAGCAACCAACCAGTGATCGATGGTGAGACTGGGCGGGGCCGTCCAGTCCCTCAGGACCCGCCGGGGATTCCAGCGAGTCCAGCCCCCGGAAGCAGCAAGCGTCGCCACGGCCACCATGGACAGACGCAGCATGGCGTTGACGTCTAGCCGAGAACTGCAGCTGGAGCGGGACGACAGAGGAGGCGTGAAGTCGGAAAAGCGCCATTGGCAGTGGGAGACGGACGAGGCATGCCATTGGTTGCTCACGGCTCGCAGCAAGTCAAAAGCATCCTGGGCGGAGGAGCTATGAGGACAAAAAAAAAAAAAAAAATTAACTTTTCACTCAAGTGAATTTGAGAGATTTTCTCAAGTTGGACTTTAAGTTTTGCAATGTCAACGGCACTGTTTGTTCTTTGTCTAACCACTCCAGGCCTGGATGGACGTGAATCAGGGGCACAATCAAGTTGCCATTCCCACCTGTAACCATTCCGCCCGACAGCAACGCTGACGGCCTTCACCAATTGGCCGCCGTCATCCTGTCTTCTGGGGTCAAAGTTGAAGAGCGTGAGGGGTGCGTGGTCAGAAGCTTCGCCTGCCGTCTGGCAGATGGCCATGCGGCCGACGAACCTCGCGCGCTCATCGTCCTCTTTGTCGCCGCCGCCGTCTTCTCTTTTCTCTTCTCTTTCTCCTCCTGTGATGCTCCTTTTCCTCCTCTTGATGCCCCTCCCCTCCAGTCCACTCTTGTGCTCTGATTGGCTGGAGCTGTGCCAAAGAGGCGAGCTGTCTAGCACTGACGATGGCCATGGATGGGAAGAGCTAGTGACATGGGGGCTACAGGAAGAGGAAACCAGGCTGGGGAAAGCGTCCAAATCTAAAGAAGAAGAAAACGCACACACAAACACACACAAAATCAGGACAGGTTTTTGTTTGGTTCATGTGAATGTGTTTTGTCGCTCCGATGCCGTGGAAGCTCTTTACATGCCAAACGTGACTATAATTTTGTCAAAAACAGCCTACTAGAAAAACAGCTTTATCGCAGAAAGGTGCAGGAAAGCAGAGGGAGTTATGGACTGTTCTAAAAAGGAGCCCAAAATCATCACAGATTGCTGACATTATTTTTTTTGCTTCCTACCAGCAGTCTGACAATTTTGTCGGTCAGGAAAAGCCTACTGGAACATCTAAACTTAATCTGGGGTCAATCTGAAGGTCTTGAAAGATATTGCCTCCCATTTAAGCGTGTGTTGAAGGCGGACTGTTTCATTCTGAAACCACTCCCTCAGTTTAGGAGGGTGTGTACACTTGTGCAACCACATTAGCCGAGTGATTTTTGACACCCCCTTGAAAGTTGGCTTTGTTTGGGGTGTGACATTGCCGTGTTACCTTTTTTGTGGTCTGCTTGCGGCGTGACGTGGCTCCTGTTCCTCTTGCGGCTCCTCCTCCTGCCAACGCCTGTGCCAGCCGTTCGCTCCAGGGCGTCCACTCGCCGGCCCAAGGACACCAGGGCCCCTCGCAGGAGACGCCGCACCTCCATCCTGTGAGCAGCCAGGAGGCGGGGCAACAGCGACGCGCAAGGACAGCTAAGCTGAGGACTAGGATGCTGCTGCTGCTGCTGAGGGTGATGATGATGATGATGATGATGATGAACCCCCTGAGGAGTGACTGCAAAAGGAACGGGTCATTTAGCAAATCTATTTTCGCCATTGAAATGACATCCAACGACACAAGACCCCTCCCCTCAAAAACTCCAGCATTTTTGCAATGGCAGTCGTGTCCTGTTGTGTGAGAAATCTGTGAGAAATCATTAACACGGTCAGTATCTTCACATATATGGATATCATTCATTATTAATAATATAAAATTATTTAAAGGCATTTGAGCCAATGCGTTATTTTATTTATTTTTTGATTAGTTGCTGACACCACAAAACAATCAATCGAAGCAATTAGGTTTTTAGGGCAGGAGCTGTTTTGTTCCTTGTTACAGTCTCTGTGAATGCTCATTGCAAATGTTCTCTTGTGGTTTCGTGGGTTTGCTCACACGTACGCGTTTCCGTGGCTGCGTAGACATCCTTGTCAGCCAATGGGAGCGCAGGAGCCTGAGGCGTCACTCCCGGAGGGGGGAGGGACAGCATGACTACTGGGGGGCGAAAAGTGACGTTATGATGACGGCATACTTAAAAAAAAAAAAAAAACGTTCAACGGTACATGGCGGAGACTTATCGCGAGAGTTGGTTCCCACTAAGCGGCTCCAAGTAGCACTGAAGCTAACATGCTTTATAAGAATGTGGTTAAAAGAAAAACGACGCGAGAGCACACACACGCTTGTCATTTGTGGCAAAAAAAAACCCGCAAAGCGTTGGGCTAACAGCCGCGGTTGGGTGCCAATAGCATTCGACATTGTCAACGTAACAAAGCTTGACTTATTGGAATAAAAACGTACCTTACTCTCTCCTGGCGAGTCAGGAAACTTCCCGAATTGTCAATGTCATTTGAAGATGGTCGGGGGAGGCAAAGAGTCAAAAGAGAAAAGGATTTTTTTCCAGAAGACTCGGCCACTCCGGCAAAGCGGTGTTAAGCTCTTCCCAAACAAAGAGAACTTCCGGTACGCCTTGAAAAATAAAAGATTCAACAAATTAAATGCTACGACAAAAAGTAACACTACGAAGACAAGTTAATTAGAATAAACCTATAATGTTGAACAAAAGCAGATATTTGTTTTGAAATGATCAAATATTGGTCATAATTACAATTCAAAACCTTTGTTTTGTCACAGGAAGGAAGCGTACGTTTCCGAATGTCGGGCAAGTATGTGCGCATGCGCAGATTACACCGGTGTTTCTGCAAAAATTTCAACATACCTTTACACTGCTTTTCTGTAGCCCTCGTACGTGCGACGACGTGATCCAAATGGTTTTATTTTTAAAACTGTCGATATGAGTCAACGGTTCCGCGTGCGTTTATTAGGGGTTATAATGCATAATTATTCATGCCAACACAATATATGTACATATACAGTATATATCTAACATTACATATACAGTACATCGTGGCGTTGGGACGAATCTTCATTTGTCAAAATCTGGGAAATCTCGCCCGTACGTGTGTGTGCGTGCGTGTGCCATGTTTACTGATAGGTGAAAGAAAAAATAAATTGAGTGTCGGAGATGTCTTGCTATTTTTGATCATGGAACAACCCCAATTGAAACTTGAGGTTTTGAGAAGTGTGATGATTCCGCACAACGCCGGCGATATTATATAAATAATAATTAAACAAACAAAAAAAATCCCTAAATTTTAACACTTCTCTCCCACATCGGGAAATGGAAACCGAATGTACTGCAACACTTCATGCCTGCCAGTCAATTTTTTTTTTCCAAATAAACAAGTCCTGAAATATTTTGGCTCAAGTAGGGAGCCCGACTTCTCAGTTCACACCAGATTTCCGTTCCAATGGAGGCCACGTAACCTCAATTTGTACGGCAAGTCTAAACGGGTCGTACTCGTCGTCGATCACTAACCGACCATAACGCAGTACACGTCAGAATTATTGTAAATATTTGCATGAAAAACAAAAACATTTCTTGGCCAGCAATGTAAACTAATCGCATATTTTAAAAAATGATGGTCACAGGCACAACAATCAAATTCTCTTCCACTAGAAACCATTGTTATCATTTATTTATCCAAGTAAGTCATGGCACACACTAAATCGATTGATGAATAAATTGAGATATGACCATTCCAGTATGGAGCTGACCTCCCAAATTATTTGGCATGTTACGTGTTTGCAGAGGGAAAATGTTTAAGTGTGTTTTTATACACTTTTTTTTTTTTTTGGGAGTGGGTGCAATGGATCAATTACATTCCATTTATTTCAAATGGAATGCATCTTGGAAATAATTTGACTCGTAGCTTAAGGCACCACAGCAGGTACATTTGTTTGTTGGCATGCCAGCCAACCAAAAGTGGTCCAAAGATGTTATGGCTCCACCCCTTTGGGAAGGGCGACTCGGAAAGTTGACGCCCCCAGGATGCACGACAAAGGTGTTGAGAGCTAAAATGTTGACTTTTATTCTTGTCTTATGTTGCCAAAAACATTTAAATTAATAAGTTAGGCATTACAGTGTTTGTCAGTGAAAACATCAACAACGTCCACACGAACAGGATCCGCTAAACAGCGCCTTCTTCTTGGGGGTGGGTGGGAGGGGGCGGGGTCTCTCGGGGGGAGTTGCGGGGAGCATGCGGAAATACGAGCTAAGCGCTACACATCGTTAGTGGTAGAAAAAGACAGCCAGCCTGACTGACTGACTGACGGCTGAGTCTGGCCAATAAGGGGAGAGCGGGGTAGATAGGGGCGGGGCTTAAGTAGAGTGGCTTTCATACGGATGTGACAATATAGGAGCCGCGTTCACCGCCACCGCCGCCTCCTCCTCCTCCTTCGCCGCCCTTTGGCTCCCGCTTTTTGGTGACGGGAGTGGGAATAAGCGAGGGCCGTGTGGGCGTGGCGGACGTGGCGGGGGAGGCTGCGGCGGAGGCTGCGGGCAGCGCGGCCGAGTCAGGGTTGCTCTTCCTGGGACTGGGCGTGTAGTTGAAGGGGCTGACCCTGGCGGCCACGGCGCCACTACGTTGCTGAAGGCGTTGCTGAGGCGGCGGCGGCTTGTCGTCTAAGCTGTCACAGCTACGGCGTAAGTTCAGGTTGGAGGAAGCGGAAGAGGAGGAGGAAGAGGGGATTTTGGAGGGGGCGGGGCCGGGGATGACGGGCGGTGCATTGGGTGAGCGAGCTGAGCAAGAGGAAGACGAGCGCGGGTTGTTGACAGGACAATCCTCCAGACGCACCCAGACCTCGTCGGAGTTGTCGGCTCGGCCGGCGCCGTCCAAGGCTTCTCCCACACCGGCGCTCTTGGCCCGTCGCCACGTTCCCTTGGATCGGACGCTGGCCTCCTCCTCGCTTCGGCCCTTCTCGCTTGACTCGGACGAGGCCGAGAGAATGGAGGAAGAACTTCCGGTTCGCTTCCAGGTGCCCACTCGGGGCAGCGAGGTGGAATGTTTGCTCTCGCGCTTCCAAGTTCCCGTGCGACTCAAGCGCGACGACGACGTGGAGGCGGCGTCCTGAGGGCGAGACGGGCTCTCCGATTGCGAGCGGACGGCGTCCTGTCTGCGAGACGTCGCTCCAGATGCGCTGCCGCTGTCGCCCAAGCGACACGTCGCCCCGGTGGACTCTTCCAGCTTCCTCTTGAGCGTAGGACTGGGCGCCTCCTTGATAAAAGTGGACTGACGGACGAGTGCGGGTTTCTCCGCATCTGCTTTCTCCTTCTTTGGGACACTGGCCAGGCCCTTCGCCGCTACTGCGGCAGGTTTGGCAGCTGCTTTTTGGGTGGCTGGGGACGCTGTACGCGGTAGCTGTGAGGGTCTCCCTCCTCTCTGAGAGGAACGCGACGGTGTGGAATCCCGTGACGAGTCGCCGCTTCCTGGCGCTTTGGCCGCAGCGGCCGTTCTCGGTTTGCTCCTCCCCCTGGCCGCGAGCTCCGTCCTGGGCTTGCCAGTGATAAGACTCCGGTACACCTTCTTCCCACCCCTCAATGCCTTCAGCTCCTCTTCATCTTCATCTTTCTTCTTTTTGTCATCCGCAGACGGCTTGACCACCCTTGCGCCTCGTTTGGACTCCCCGCCCTCCTCGGGGGGGTTGCTCATGGGGGATGGCAGGTGGAACGGCGAACCCACGGATTTGAGGGACAGCACGGAATCGGAGTCCGATGAGCCTTGGCGGGACAGCGACGAGGCGGCGGCGGCGGCATTGAGGCTGCTGACAATGGAGTTGGCGCCTTCTTGAATGGCCTTCCAATCAAAGGATTCCGAGTCGGGGGAGGCGGGGCTCCGCGGTACCTCCAATGGCTCCTCTTCAGCTCGGATGTCATCCTCCTCTTTGGGCGCAGGAAGCGGCGCGGCAGGAAGCGGCGCGGCGGCGGCGGGGACTGGCGCGGCTGC